AACACACACACAATGGAATATTATGCAGTCATCAAAAGGAATGAAATCTTGCCATTTGCAATGATGTGGATGGAACTAGAGGGTATTATGCCGAGCGATAAATAAGTCAATCAGAGAAAGACATGTATCGTATGATCTCACTGATATGAGGAATTCTTAATCTCAGGAAACAAACTGAGTGTTGCTGGAGTGGTGGGGGGTGGGAGGGATGGGATGGCTGGGACATTGGGGAAGGTATGTGCTATGGTGAGAGCTGTGAATTGTGTAGGACTGTTGAATCACAGATCTGTACCTCTGAAACAAATAATACATTACATGTTAAAAAAAAAAGAAGAAGATAGTAGGAAGGGAAAAATGAAGGGGGGGAATCGGGAGGGGGAGATGAACCATGAGAGACTATGGACTCTGAGAAACAAACTGAGGGTTCTAGAGGGAAGGAGGGTGGAGGGATGTGTTAGCCTGGTGAGGGTATTAAAGAGGGCACGTACTGAATGGAGCACTGGGTGTTCTATGCAAACAATGAATCATGGAACACTACATCAAAAACTAATGATGTAATGTATGGTGATTAACATAAAAAAATTTTAAAAAATTTTTAAAAAGCTCATTTTAAAATTTATAAAGAACGTTTTTGGACTCACATTAACTGATTTCAAGGTCTAATTAAGAACCTAAAATATTAATGTGGTATTGACATAAGGATGGATATATAGATGAATAAAAAAATATAGATACCACAGAAATACAGTCTTAAATGTACAGAATATAAGTACAAATACACACACACACACACACATAAGCTTATGTACCATATACAAAATACACATTTATCCATTTTCTAAGAACAATGGAAATGCTATTCAGTAGAGAAAGGATAATCTTTTCAATTAATGGTGTTAGAATTACTGGACTCTCCTTTTCAAAAATTTAAACCTGACACTTATCCCATCCTGTCTATGAGAACTAACACCAAATGAATTACAAAATGTAAAATGTGAAATTTAAAACTTTTCTAGAAGAAAGCATATGAATAAATCTGTCTTACTCTGAGTTTGGATATTTCTAGACAGAACAATAAATGCATGATCTTTATGAGAAAATTAATAAACTGAATTTTTACATTCAATTTTAGCCAACCTCCTCTGAAATCATGCCAACAAAAGAAGTGGAATGCAGCTTCACTACTGCCAAGTGTGGACAGAAGTCCATGTTCCCCCCTAAACCTCCACTGACATCTTTGGGAGTTGGAGCAGTAGGCTACCACATTAACAGTGAGGAGGGGTGAGATGTCAGGGTCCCCACCAGCCTTCTCCTAACACTAACCACCATCAGGTGCCATGGTCCCTAGCTCACCTTCATTGTTGTGTAATCTTTCAGAATATTACATTTATTCTATGTATATTTACCATATGTATATTGATACGTATATACACACATATACATATATATAGATATACATATATGTACAGATACACAGACATATATATATTTAGCTGCAATTAGTGGAGAGTAAAATAGAATACATTTATTCCACCTTTCCCCTGGTTAATACTTTTATATCTTACTCCTTCCCCAAGCAGAGTCACAAACACATTCTCCTTATTATCCCATAGAATATCTCTAGTTTTACTTTGAAAAAAATCAGGCCTTTAAGCCACCTGAATCCCATTTTTTGTTTAGATCAATGAGGTTACTTTGGTATTCTTTCTCCACTGTTTTGTGGGGCTAGTGCCATCTATCAAGACCAATTATCTATGAAGTATATGTTTTTTTCTTGAGCTTTCTTTTCTGTTTCACTCATTTATTAAACTATCCCACTTCCAGTTCCATACTACTTAACTCTCAGAGTTTTACATATGTGATAGAGCAAATCCTACCACAACACTCGTATAAATGAGATTTTCTTTGATACTGCATTAAATATTTATAATTGTGTATAAGTGCTTCTTTTGTCTTTGTTAGGATTAGCTAAAATTTCATCCATTTTACTTTTTTTTTATTCTAAAAAACATTCTATAATTTCTGTATTCCAGTTAATATCACTTTTAAATTCTGCTTTTTTAGTATATTTTTGTTATTGTTTTTACTTAATTTATTACTAGACTACCAATTTACCTCTGTTCACTAATCTACTATACCCTAAGGTTTATAATATGCACATTTATTTTATAAATGTCACACAATTTTGGACTTGATATCCTTTTTTATACATTGTTTAAAAGAGAATTTTTTAAAATATCCATGTTAAGAGTTTTTTGTTTACTCATTAATTTCTATATTTATCAAAATATGTTGAAAATATTATTTATGGTCTAATTTGTTGGACTTACTGGTTTTCTTTCTAGATTAACATTTTATTTTATATATATATTTTTAAAGATTTTATTTATTCGAGACACAGATACAGAGAGAGAGAAAGAAAGCATGAGCAGGGAGAGAGGCAGAGGGAGAGGAGAAGCAGGCTCCTCACTGAGCCAGGAGCCCGATGTGGGGCTTGATCCCAGGACCCTGAGATCATGACCTGAGCTGAAGGCAGACGCTTAACCATCTGAGCCACCCAGGCGCCCCATATTTTCACTATCTTATGATTAATCTATGGGAACTTGAAAGGCTTCTTTTATTTTTTTTTTAATGTTATGTTAGTCACCATATAGTACATTAGTTTTTGATGTAGAGTTCCATGATTCATTGTGTGTAACACCCAGTGCTCCATGCAATACATGAAAAGGCTTGTTCTTTGATCTCAGGATACAGATACATATATATGGTTCACTTTTTTTTTTTTAAGATTTTATTTATTTGCAAGAGGGAGAGAAGGAGCACGGGGGAGGAACAGAGGGAGAAGGAGAAGCACACTCCCTGCTGAGCAGGGAGCCCAACACAGAGCTCCATCCCAGGACCCTAAGATCATGACCTAAGCCAGAGGCAGATGCTTAACTGACTAAGCCACCCAGGCGCCCCTGGTTTACTCTAATATAAATATCATTTACATCCCATATAGGCATACTTATTTAATGTTCATAGTATCTTTACTTTAATCAGATGAGGTATGTTATTATCTCCTAATCCTGGTGAATTTTAACTTCTTAGAACCCCATTATTTTGTGTTTTATGATAGCTGGTATGATACTGTTTGGTGCAGTCATTCAAATGCTTAAGGGTTTACTTTAACCTGTGCTCTTAAAATGAGGGCCTTCTTTTAAGTTAATGCATTTATTTATTTATAAAGATTTTATTTATTTGAGAGAGAGTGAGAAAGCATGAGCGAGGTGTGGGGCAGAGGGAGAGGGAGAAGCAGGCTCCCCACTGATCAGAGATCCTGGCACAGGGTTCAATCCCAGGACCCTGAGATGATGACCTGAGCTGAAGGCAGACACATAACCGATGAGCCATCCAGGCACCCCTAAGTTACTGCATTTATTGCCTAAATTCAAGCCTGAATGACATGAAACTCTAAATTATTTAGTTTTTTACTTAATAACTTTACTATTTTTTTATTGCAATCTTTCAAACATACTTATTTTGGGGTATCTTTTTTAGCCAACCAATACGATCAAATCATTTACATCTAATGACTGGAAAATATGCTTAATCTAAAAATTTTGCTGTCTGGTTGAACAGCTTCACAACCAAAACTTTAGTAAACACACTTAGGATGATTTTACTCTTTTGCTCTAAGAATTATACTGAAACTGTAATTTTTGAAGTTCCTGAATTTACCAGTTTACACAAAAATACCAATAAGCACATGAAAAAATACTTGACATCATTAGTGACCAAGTAAATTGTTATGGACTGAATTATATCTCCCCCTAAATTCGTATGTTGAAGCCCTGACCCTCAATGTTACTATATTTGGTGGTAAGGCCTTTGGGGAAATTAAGGGTAAATGAGTTCATAAGGGTGTGGCTCAAATTCTTATAGGCTTGGTATCTTTGAAAGAATAGGAAGAGACATCACAGCTCTCTCTCCATGAAAGCACAGAGGAAAGGCCATATGAGGGCACAGTGAGAAGGCAGTCATCTGCAAGCCAGAAAGAAGCCTCACCAGAAATTAATCATGTTGGCACCCTGATGTTGGGCTTTCAGCTTCCAGAACTATGAGAAATAAATATCTGCTACTTAGGCCACCCAGACTATGGTATTTATCATGCCAGGCCAAATGACTAGTACAGAAATGCACATCAAAACTTCAATGATATACCACTTCACATCTACTAGGATGGCTAGGATAAAAAAGATAATAACAAGTGTTGGTGAAGATGTGGAAGAATTAGAACCCTCATATGCTGTCATTAGGAATGAGAAATAGGCAGGCACTGTGGAAAATAGTCTGGAAATTCTTGAAACAGTTACCACATAACCCAGCAATTTGAATCAAGTGTAACTCAGTAAGAGGAAAAAAAGCATTATGTCCAAAAAAAAAAAAAATCCATGCAAAAACTTGTAAATCAATGTTTCTATCAGCATTATTCAATAGCCAAAAGGTAGAATCCTAAATGTTAATTGAATGAAGAATGGACAAACAAATGTGGCAAATACATACAATGAGACATTATTTTCCATACAAAGGATGAAGTACTGATACATATGAATCTTGTAATCCTATGTGAAAGAAACCAGTCATAAAAGACCACATAATGTGTGACTGCATTTACATGAAATGTCTGCAATAGGCACATCTATAAAGACAGAAAGTAGATTAGTGATTGCTGGGGCTGTAGGGTATAGGAGGATAGGGAGGTAATAACTAAAGGGTATGAGGTTTCTTTTTGAGGTAATGAAAATGAACTGTGGTGATATTTACACATATCCGTGAATATGTGAAAAGCCACTAAATTGTACCCGTTAAATGGGTGGATTCTATGATATGTAAATAGTATTTCAACAGAGCTGTTTAAAAGGGTAAAACAACCAACCAACCAACAAACAAAACTTTCAAAGGTATTCCCCTAAAAGTTTAACTATCCCAAGTGTTTCCTTCTGTCAGTGCTCACCCACCTGGGTACCTCTGGTTTAGGAATTCTTCCTCTAAGGACCAGGGCTCTTCTCCTTGCTCCAACTTGAAGATCATCTCAGGTTTGGTGGTGCAATACCCTGTAAACGTGACAATTGAAGGTATATACATATACCAGATCCATGGGCTTTTTGGCTTTCAAAGGTGGAGCAAGATACAGCAACAAGAGCAGCAAAATAAATGTGCTCATTTGAAGTATCCCATGGGAAAGTAATAACATAAACATTTTGTCTGCTTCCTAAAAGCTTCAGGTACCTTAGACCTCTTACTCAAAAGCCAGTACAACATTAATCTCTACAAGGAGTACATGTGTTTTGATAACTTTTAAAAAAAGGAAATTTAATTTAGACGAAGATACACAATAAAGTCTGCTTACCCACTGAAATGAGGTGGCTGTAGTTCTCTAGCATCACATCTCGGTACAGGATCCTTTGAGCAGGACTCATGTACTGCCATTCATCCTGGGTAAATTCAACAATCACATCTTCGAATGACATGGATCCCTGTAACAACACATTTTGTTCAAAGATTCAGAATTATGTGACACATATCTTTGATAATTACCACTTTTCCTGCTTACTCTTAAGCTCTAAAAGACATGGTTATCAAAGACACCTATTTCTGACATAATTTTGTCTGTAGCTGTGGAGTTGCTCAGTTAAGAAGGTTTTTAACTTCCTATAATTCATTTATATCTATTTATGAATTACAGATTTTTTAAGACAAAAAAATTCAATGTAAAGAGATTTCCTACAACTCTTCCTCTTCATCCCAAGTTACTGTGGGCATTCTAGAGAATTCTAAGATGTTCATTCCCTCCTTAGACATCGTCATTGTAAACAGTGGGAGACAAAGAAGATACATGCAAGCTGTGGAGATATTTTACATGATCAAACTTATGTATAAATACATATATAAAAATATATAAATCTAGCGCTCATGAAGAGCAAAGAACAACTTACCAAGGATTTGGAATCATAGAGACCAGTATAAGTGATTATTTACGCTGAAGTAACAGCAATGAATATAAGGACAGGGACATAATCTCAGGGTAGCAGCAGCAACCAATCTGATAATTACTTTCTTGCACAACCGCCCAGGCTAACTAAATGAGCAGCTTCTGGAATGTTAGTGCCAAACACTGACATTTAGGAAACAAAAGGAAAAAAAAAATGTGTCAGAAGTTTTAGTGAGATAGATCTGTTCATGTTGCTCCTGAAGGGTCTGTGAACATAAAGGTGGAACTATCCCTTAAACTAATATACACATGGTTTTAGAATGTAGAAGGGAGGTGTAAGGATGAAGACAAGCATTTAGGAGTTACTAGCAATTTAGGTGGTAACTAAAATTTTAAGAGGCAATCAGACAGCAACGTGAGCTATATGCTATACATCCTATATGGAACTGAGGAAAGAAAAATACCAAATAGCATTTAGGGAAGCATGAATATTAAAGAGACTGGCAGAAAAAATAAAGTCCAAAAAGCCAAAGAAAAAGCTTTCTGAAAAGTAGTAAGAGTCAGGAAAGGATGTTGGCGAGGATGCAGAGAAAGGGGAACCCTCCTACACTGTTGGTGGGAATGCAAGCTGGTGCAGCCACTCTGGAAAACAGTATGTAAGGTTCCTCAAAAAGTTGAAAATAGAGCTACCATACGACCAAGCAATTGCACTACTGGGTATTTACCCCAAAGATACAAATGTAGTGATCCGAAGGGGTACGTGCACCCCGATGTTTATAGCGGCAATGTCCACAATAGCCAAAGTTTGGAAAGAGCCAAGATGTCCATCGACAGAGGAATGGATAAATAAGATGTGGTCTATATATACAATGGAATATTATGCAGCCATCATAAGGAATGAAATCTTGCCATTTGCAACGACATGGATGGAACTAGAGGGTATTATGCTAAACAAAATAAGTCAATCAGAGAAAGTATATTATTTCATGATATGAGGAATTTGAGAAATAAGACAGAGGCTCATAGGAGAAGGGAGGAAAAAATGAAACAAGATGAAACCAGAGAGAGAGACAAACCGTCTCTCTCAAATGCTATTTGGTATTTTTCTTTCCTCAGTCCCATGTAGGATGTATAGCATATAGCTCACGTTGCTGTCTGATTTCCTCTTAAAATTTTAGTTACCACCTAAATTGCATACACTACATCAAAAACTAATGATGTACTGTATGGTGACTAACATAATAAAACAAAATTAATAATAAAAAAAAAAGAGTCTGGAAAAGGTAGAATCTTGGAAAATGCAAAAAGGGAAAATTTCCACAACAAAAGACTTCACCAACGGGCTGGGAGGAGGGGGAACTGGAGAGTTGCTGTTCAACAGACATAAAACTTCAGTTATGCAAAATCATTAAGTTCCAGAGATCTGCTGTACAACATCATCCCTATAGTTAACAATATAGTATCACACATATAAAAATGTGCTAAGGGTAGATCTCATGTTAAGTGTTCTTATCACAATTAAAAGCAGAAAAGAAAGGGAAGAAAACTAAGAGATAACAGGGCAGAAACAAGTTTCTTTTTTCCCCCTCAGTGTTATGTATCCAATTATTTGTTCATTTATGTCTTCAGTATTCCTAAGTGAGTACCTCCTGCATGTGAAACTCAGTAGTAGTAGCTGGTAACTAAAACAAATAAATAAAAGGACAGGAATACCTCTCAAAATTTAATCTAAAAAAGAAAAAAAGAAAAGGTAATTATATTCTCCAAAGCGAAAAAATTAGTGAGAAAAGTGGCACTGCTTTCATTTTTGCGAATCTCTTTAATATCTGACTTAATTAGATCACGTGGATTAAAAAAAATAAGCTAACAAGTGACATAAATAAAAATGGTTAAGTAAGGATCCAAAAAATTCTCTCCTTCATAAAACTAGGAAAAAACTGGCAAAAACTGAGGTGCCTGGGTAGCTCAGTTGGTTAAGCATCCAACTCTTGATTTTGGCTCAGGTCATGATCTAGGGGTTGTGGGATCAAGCCCCATGTCAGGCTCCATGCTCAGCACAGAGTCTGCATGAGATTCTCTCTCTCTCTCCCCCTCTGCCACTCACAGTCTCTTGCTTTCTCAATAAATAAATTTTTTAAAAAAACTAGCAAAAATTATAAAAATTAACAAAGGCTATCTTCAAAACATTTATAAAAAACAAAAACGGGCGCCTGGGTGGCTCAGTTGGTTAAGCGACTGCCTTCGGCTCAGGTCATGATCCTGGAGTCCCTGGATCGAGTCCCGCATCGGGCTCCCTGCTTGGCAGGGAGTCTGCTTCTCCCTCTGCCCCTCCCGACCCTCCCCCCTCTCATGTGCACTCTCTCTCAGTCTCTCTCTCTCAAATAAATAAATAAAAATCTTTAAAAAAAAAAAACAACAACAACAACAAAAAAACAAAACAAAAACAAAACAGCTTAATCATAGTAGAATGGTGATACTGTGACCTTTTAACTTATACCCTGTTCCCATCCTTCCCTTCCCAACTCTGCAATAGTTTGACAACCAATGGTCTACAACCAACAGCCTGGCAACCACAAGAGCAGAACTGGGTTGGAGATCCACTGAAACCTCACTCATAGAAAACGGTCATTATTTGGCCAGTTTGGTGGTTTCCTGAAAGACCCCACTTACAAGGATGCCTTTATTTGAGCTAACTCACAGCTCAGTGTGAAAAGCCTTATTCACTCATCGTTTATCAAAAATTAAAGGCATTTGTTTAACTTAATGGCTACCTGAGGTGGCAGATAACAGCTGAGACAAACAATGGCTTAACGAAGAAGCTTGAAAGGAAAAGTTGGACAATGAGATGTCCATAAATGTTTCTGAAAACCTCTGATACATTCCTGAGAATCAAGGAGGCCGCAAACTTGCAAAGGGCTGTGCATATGCCTAAGGCTGTGAGCATACTCAGGAAAGATATGAGAAGGCCCTGAGCTGTCACCTCTAGGTGACCTTAAGGTTTGGCATTAGAAAGAAGTCTAAGCTAATGCAGAGTTATAAACCATCTGTCTAACTGTTGAAGAATTCCCTGACATGCACAGAGCCCTTAGCAAAGACTGGGAGACTTACTGGGTCTAGGCATTTAAAGAAATTTCTGCAGACACTTCAACTGCCTCAGATCAAAGAAACACAGGCTCTACAGAATTTTTTAAAAACTCACTGAACAAATAAATTTCAACAATGACCCCGAAGGAGGGGAGAAATTCTGATTTCTAGAACTGGCACATTCTTCTATTTAAAATGTCCTATTTTCAACAAAAAAGTTTAGTAAACAAGGAAAGAAACAGGAAAGTAAGGTTCATATGCAGAAAAAGTATAATCAATAGAAACTGCTCTTAAAGAAGCAAACGTTGAACTTACTAGACAATAACCTTAAATCAGCCATATTAAATATGGTCAAATACCTAGAAAAAAACAATGTTCAAGGACTAAAGGAAAATAAAGAAAGATATTTCACTAAATCAAGAATATCAATAAAGAGATAGAAATTTTAACAAAGAGAAATCATACAGAAACTCAAGAGTTGAAAACTTTAATAACTAAATCAAAATTTCACCAGAGGGATTCTATAGCAGATTTGAGGAGATGAAAGAATGAATAGACTGGACAATATGCCCATTGAAATTATATACTGTGAGGAAACAAAGAAAAATAATGACAAAAAATGAAATATGGGATAGCATCAAGCAATAGAGACAAAGAGACAATATTGAAAGCAGCAAGAAAGAAGTGACTCATCATGTACAATAGTATTAAAAGCAGATTACTAATCAGAAACCATGGAAGACATAAGGCAGTGAAATGATACATGACAAGTAAGTGCTGAAAGAAAAAAGTTGTCAACCAAGAATTATATACCCAGCAAAAATAGAAAAATTAAAACCTTCCCAGATAAACAAAAACAAAATTTGTCACAGGCAGAACTGCCCTACAAGAAATAATACAGGGAGTGGTTCAGCAAATCTATACAGACAGAAAATAGATTAGTGGTTGCTTGGGGTTTGGGGGAAATGAGCAGATGAAAGGGGATAAAATGCAGAGTTGCTTTTTAAGATGAAGAAACTGTTCTAAAATTGACTGTGGTGATATTTGCACCAATCTGTGGGTATACTAAAACATCACTGAATTCTACACTTAAATGGGTGAATGGCATGGTATGTGAACTGAATCTCAGTAAAGCTTAAAAAAAAAAAGAGAGAGAGAGAATGAAATCATTCTAAGATTAATAGAGCAGATTAAAAGGGCCAGGGTCGGAAGCTGGGAATGAACCATGTGAAAGGACAAGTGAAAGAAGATGACTCCAAAAAGATATCAGCACTGTAAAGATGGGGCCAGTGGAGGGTGTCATGGACAGTAACAAAGAAACTTTCCAGAAGGACAGAGGCAGTAGAGGCAAATGCTACAGAAAAGTCAAGTAAGAAAAGAATTAGACAAGACCCAATGGATTTGATTATAATCAAGTCTCTGGTCACCAGATATGACAGGCAAGTGGGGAGAGAAGCCAAAGCATCATGCAGAGGTTTGAAGTGTGGATAGAAAGTGTTGAAACGTTTGAAAGAGAACACAATTTTAAACTGCTGAGCAACCTGAATATCTTGGGTACTCAAAATATTTATGGAAAGTAATTTTAATTCAGCTGATTCAACAGAAAAGAATGTCTAATTCAACCCCTGTGTTTGAGTTTCTGGAAAACAGAACAGACCAAGTTCACATTTAGCATTATATCTTCTACTTTTATTGAAGAACAAGTAGAGACAACGTTCTATATTATTTTAGAGTAATTACTGAAAAGTTGTTAACTAAATCACCTACTCGAAAAATAAAGATCATTTTTACCTTCAAATGTTTTAACGTTCTGGGCACCTGGGTGGCTCAGTTGGTTAAGTCTCTTGCCTTCAGCTCAGGTCATGATCCCAGGGTCCTGGGATGGAGTCCCGCATTGGGCTCCCTGCTCATCAGGGAGTCTGCTTCTCTCTCTCCCTCTGCCCCTCCCCCCCCCGCTTGTGTGCATGCACTCTCTCTCTCAAATAAATAAAATCTTAAAAAAAAAAATGTTTTAACATTCTATGAGGTATCAGTTTGCTTAATCTTCTCACCAACCACAACCTTTAAAGCAGTACAGTTTGTCTGACACTCTGACATGGCTATCAACACTCAGAAATAAATTCGGAGCTCCAATTTCATATCCACATGCCACCTTTGCTCTGCTACTCATCTGTCTTTCCATCTCTGAATGCATCTGATCCATTTCTATTTCTACTTTTTCATGTTAATAGACTCTTAAGCCCTTATAAAATCCACTATAAAACAAACAGATTATTAAAAATAGAAATTACCTGCACTATGTTCATTTTCTGCAGCTCCTTGAAGAATGTGAAGAAATGAAAAGGTTCAGCTGGGAAAGAGGAAGGAGAAATAGGGTCATGAGAAACCTGGTCTGCCTTACAACTATTTTTATTTCCCTAAAAATCTCATTAACATCAGCTGGAAAAAAGGTTTCCCTATAGAAGAATATCCTTTTGACATTCTTGAGAGGGAACAAGAAGGACCACGCAGAGGTAGTACCTGAACAAATGCATCTGCAATATGATGACATAGGCTTAACCTTGCATTTTCACTGCTGTGAAACTCAGAAGTCGATGAATTAACAATTTATGTCCCCTTCTAAGTAAGAACAACAACAAAAAACACAAAATAAAACAAGAGGATATTGGTTAAACAAATTCAGGTATACAAAGGTAAAACCTTCTACCTTCATTTAAACTAATGTTGTTTAAAAAACCTACTTAGATGGGATTGTTAATCAAATTTGTGTTGTCTTTACACCTTGAGTTAGAGCTTCCCCAGAAAACTTCAAAATACAGATGGGACGCTTTATGCAAGAAATACTTTTTCTAACTTTTTGTTCTTACTTGGTTGCAAATTCTGAAACAGATTTCTTAGTAAGATGCCTATAGTACTTACCTGTGTAAGTAAACAGCACTGTGCTTAAGTTCTTAATTCTGCCCTGGGCGTCTTTTCAAAAATCATTCATTTCAGGCCCAATATTTTGAGCTTCCAAAAGTGTCTAATATAGAAAAATTTTCTTCTACTATCCTTTCGTCATTCCCTACACTCAGGAAAGAGGGAGGAGCATCAGCATAACTCTAGATGCCACATGTGGTGATGGAGATGGTAGGAGGGCAGCTCAGAATCTGGAAAGAATGAGGGGGAATGAAGGACACCGGGTGCTATTTAGGATTTCATTAGTTCTGGCTGGTTATACCTTCCCTGGGCATCATGTCCTACCAACCACCCAGTGAAGTGCCTTTTCCTGTACAGCCTGACAGTCACCCATCCCTCTCAACCACCTTCTGCAAGCTGGTCCAGTGCCACTGTCACACAGTCTGTGATGGCTTCTGCGTACAGTCACTAAGTCTGACTCATGCTATATAGGGATCAAGAACTGCTTCTGGTGGAGCAAGTCAGGACCTGTGCCTTTCTTGAAACCTCTGCCCCTGCTCTGAAGCTCCAATGAGGAATCTGTCAGAAGAGCTCTTCTTCTAAATGACAGTTGTTCCTAGGGCTCTCTTTCTCCAGTCTTAAGTTACTTTACTACAGAGGGGCTGGGATCTGGGCCTGAGAAACAAATTCACTGTAACTGAAACCTCCATTTAACACTCTAAACCGGACTTTGGAATCCACTACAAGTGTACTATCCAGTAATGTAGCCATTAGCTGCATGCAACTACTACACCTGAAGTGTGGTTAATAATAATTCAGATATACTGAGTTAAACGTATCAGTAGAACTAATTTCATCTCTTTCTTTTTATTGTTGCTACTGAAAAACTCCATATTTGGTTTCCATTATCTTTCTATTGGCCAGCACTGCATTAGATTATCAGATTGTGCCTTTGAGGATGGAGATAGCTTAGATGGTGCAGGTAAGTTCAAGAGTCTCTTGACCAGGGGCTCTAAAAAGAATCCACAAATCCCAGGATATATATTACCACATTGTGAGATTCTGTCCATATTCACTTCACAATCATATGTCTGGAAATCTGGGGACAGGCTACTCTGCTAAGAGCTCCAAAGGTTGCAACTCTTGGTTTGGGGCAGAAAGGATGCTGGGAAGAGCAAGAGGTAGGGAGTAAAATCTACTTGTATTTACATCCAACCTCTCCCACCTACCAGCTTGTGCCCTAGGGTGTATCATTTGGCGTCCAGTAAATTCCTTTCACTTTTTTAAATGGCCTAATTATAAGGGCAACTGTGAGGCTTAAATGAAATACCAAAGGAAACAAAGTGTCTTGTGATAGCAACTTACACACCCATTATTACAAGCACTTGACAAAAAGCTTTGCAGATGACACCTTATTTCTCAGAGTAATTCCACAAGCTACTGTTAGTAGCCTCATGTTCATCGAAAACATTATAGAGGTGGATTCCCTTCCCACTGCCTGCAGTCCCCTCACTCGGCGCCCGCAAAGGGCACCTTCTCCAGATAGGGGACGCAGCCCCACTTGCGCCACCGGAAGCAGGCGGGAGCAAACGCCGCAAGCACACAGGGACTGGGGGAGGGGAGGACCCGCCGGAAAATTCCCGGGAACACTGCACACAAACCTACCGGATCTGGCAGGGCCCCAGGCCTCCCGGAGCCGTGTCCCCAGTGCTCTCACCCCCAGCGCAAAGGCTCTGCTCCCGCAGATACCCAAAGGAGCCGAGTTCGTGTCCTTTTTCAACCACAGAAGGCGGGCGGAAAAGAGGCCAAGGCTGGATGTGCACTTGCGCAGAAGGAGCCCCCAAACCCGTTCCCAGCGTGCTGCGCGGTAGGCGCATAACATTTAAGACTACATTTCCCATAAAACTTTGAGACCGCAGGAAGTAATTTTAGAAGCGTTTCCTCCTCAAGTAGTGAGGTGAGACGTCACAATTGGATCTGACCTTTGGAAACTTTATCTGAATCCCCAGGTATTGTGGATTAGACTTTAACTTTATGGCATGACAACATGTTGCAAAGCATGGTTCTCGATTGGATCCTAGTTGGAAAAAAACAACAGTTGCAAGAGACTACAATTGGAGAAACGAATATAGACTAGATATTAGAAATACAAAAGAGAATTACCATTACTTTGGTTAGTGTGATTAATATTTAGAGGATGGAGGAAATTGTTCTTATTTTTAAAGATACATACAGAAATATCATATGGAATTTGAGGGGCAGCACAGATGACCATAGGGGAAGGAGAAAAAAAAGAAGGGAGAGGGGGCAGACCACAGGAGACTCTTGAGTGTGGAGAGCAGATTGGGAATTGCTGAGGGGAGGGCGAGGTGGGCTGGACATGGCCGGGATGGGTGATGGTGTTAGGGAGGGCGCTTGATGTGATGAGCACTGGGTGTCGTGTGTGTGTGGGAGCGGGGTGGGTGTGGGTGGGTGATGAGTTACTAGATTCTACTCCTCAAACTGGTATTGCACTATATGTTGACTAACTGAAATTTAAATAAAAACTTAAAACATTAAGAAAAAGAAATACTCGATTATTAAATCATATATAATTTACTTTCTAAAATTCAGCATAACAATTAGAAAAAGAAAATATGGCTAAGGTAAGAATTGTTAAAAACTGTAATACGTATATGATGTTCATTTTACTAGTATTCCGAATGTTTGACTTTATTTTTAACACATAGTAAAAATGGGAGCAACTGGTGGTGGTGGTGGTGGTGGGAAGAGGGTTAGGAAGAGTTTACTGCCCTTCCAGAAGTATACCTTTTAAAATCAAGTTTCCTGGGTACACACAAGTATCTCTTGTGAATACTGCTTGTGCAATATAACAAATACTAGAAAATGGAGCAAGCATTAACATAAGAGTCATATCTTGGCAGGGTTTACCTGGGGAGTAGAGGTGGGGTAAGTTAGCTGCTCAAAATTACACAAGTAATACATGAAAATACATATAACCCAAAATAAGAAAATTATTATTATCAGTTTTGCAGTTCCACAAGTAAATTTTCTTTCAAAATTAATGCATGCACACCTCAGACGTTTTTTAACAAATTTGAGACCTAAGGACACGAAAAGAAATTTCCGGTAGACTTTTTAAGAGTAGTTTTAGGCTTATAAAATAATTGAGCAGAAAGTAGAGTTCCTATGTATCCCCTCTCATCACTCCACACACTGTACCCTCTATTATTAACATCTTACATTAGTGTAGTACATTTTCTACAATTAATGAATGATACAGTATTACTACCTAAAGTCCACAGTTGACATCAACAGTCACTTTTTGTGTTGTACAGTTCTATGGGTTTTGCCAAATAAATAATGTCATCCACTGTAATACCCACTATTACATTATCATAGCAGTCTCATAGCCCTAAAACATAAAGAACAGTTTTACTGCCCTAAGAATCTGTACTGTGTCTACTCAACTTCTTCCCTCTGGATTTCCCTTCCTGAACTCCTGGCATCCATTTTTTTTTTAATTTTTTTTTATTCTTATGTTAATCCCCATACATTACATCATTAGTTTTAGATGTAGTGTTCCATGATTCATTGTTTGTGCATAACACCCAGTGCTCCATGCAGAATGTGCCCTCCTCAATACCCACCACCAGGCTAACCCATCCTCCCACCCCCCTCCCCTCTAGAACCCTCAGTTTGTTTTTCAGAGTCCATCGTCCCTCATGGTTCGTCTACCCCTCTGATTTCCTCCGCTTCTTTCTTCCCCTCCTGCTACCTTCTTCTTCTTTTTTTTTTTTTCTTAACATATATTGCATTATTTGTTTCAGAGGTACAGATCTGAGATTCAACAGTCTTGCACAATTCACAGCGCTTACCAGAGCACATACCCTCCCCAGTGTCTATCACCCAGTCACCCCATCCCTCCCACCCCATCCCCCACTCCAGCAACCCTCAGTTTGTTTCCTGAGATTAAGAATTCCTCATATCAGTGAGATCATATGATACATGTCTTTCTTTGTTTGACTTATTTCGCTCAACATAATACCCTCCAGTTCCATCCACGTTGTTGCAAATGGCAAGATCTCATTCCTTTTGATGGCTGCCTAATATTCCATTGTATATATATACCACTTCTTCTTTATCCATTCATCTGTCGATGGACATCTTGGCTCTTTCCACAGTTTGGCTGTTGTGGACATTGCTGCTATAAACATCGGGGTGCACGTACCCTTTCAGATCCCTACTTTTGTATCTTTGGGGTAAATACCCAGTAGTGCAATTGCTGGATCATATGGTAGCTCTATTTTCAACTTTTTGAGGAACCTCCATACTGTTTTCCAGAGTGGTTGCACCAACTTGCATTCCCACCAACAGTGTAGGAGGGTTCCCCTTTCTCTGCATCCCCACCAACATCTGTCGTTTCCTGACTTGTTAATTTTAGCCATTCTGACTGGTGTGAGGTGGTATCTACTCCTAGCATCCATTTATCTTTTTATTGTCTCAATAGTTTTGCCTTTTCCAGAATGTCATATAGTTAAAATCATATAGTAAGTAGTCTTTTTAGACTGGCTTCTTTCAGTTAGAATATGCATTTAAGCTTTCTCCCTGTCTTTTTATGGCTTAATACCTCATTTCTTTTTTATTGCTGAATAAAATTCCATTATGTGGATGAACACAGTTTGTTTATACACTCTTCTATCGAAAAGCATCTTGGTTGCTTTCAAGTGTTTACAATCACAAAATAAAATGTGTGTGTGTGTGTGTGTGTGTGTGTAGGCTTTTGTATGTAACATAAGATTTGAAATCAATTGAGTAAATAGCAAGGAGAGCAATTGTTGGATTGTATAGTGGAAACCGTGTTTAAATTTATAAGAAACTGCCAAACTGTCTTCCAAAAGTGAATGTATCATTTTGCATTCTTATCAGCAATGACTGACAGGTTCCCTTGCTCCAAATCCTCACCAGCATTAGGTGTAGTTGGTGCATTGGATTTTGGCCATTCGCATAGGTGTGTAGTGGTATCTCATAATTTGCAATTCTGTAATAACATGTGATGCTGGGCTTCTTTTCATATGCCTATTTGTCATAAGTATATCTTATTTTGTGAGGTATCTGTTCAACTCTTTCATCCATTTTTTTATTGGGTTGTTCATTTTCTTATTGTTGAGTTTTAAGAGTTCTGGTTTATTTTAGATAAAACTCCTTTACTAGATATGATCTTTGCAATATTTTCTCTCAGTCTGTGGCTTATCTTTTCATTCTCCTGACATTCTTTCACATAGCAGAAGTTTTTAATTTTAATGATGCCAAACTGAACAATTTGTTCATTCATGGATTGTGCTTTGATGTTACCTAAAAATTCATAACCAAACTCAAAGTCACCTAGATCTTCTTTCATTTTATAATATAGAAGTTTTATATAAAGTTTTGCATTTTGTTTTTAGAATTATGATCCATTTTGAGTTGTTTGTGAGATGTGTTAGGTCTGTGTATGTGTGTGTATATATACACATACATAATGTATTTTGCATGTGGATGTCCAAATGTTCTATTGCCATTGTTGAAAAAACTATCTTTTCTTCATTGAATTATCTTTGCTCCATGGTCAAGAATCAGTTGACAATATTTGTGTGAGTCTATTTCCGGGCTCTGTATGCTATTCCATTAATTTTTTGGTTGATTCTTTCTCCAACACCACACTGGTTTGATCACTGTAGCATTGTAGCAATTTTTGGCATTAGATAGTGTCAGTCTTCTGACTTAGTTCTTCAATATTGGGTTGACTATTCTGGACATTTTGCATTTCCATATAAATTTTAGAATCAATTTGATGGTATCTACAAAATAACTTTCTGTGATTTTGATTGAGACTGAGTGAATCTATTGATCAAATTAGTTGGAAATGACATCTTTTTTTTTTTTAAGATTTTATTTATTTATTTGCGAGAGAGAGAATGAGAGACAGAGAGCACGAGAGGGAGGAGGGTCAGAGGGAGAAGCAGACTCCCCGCCGAGCAGGGAGCCTGATGCGGGACTCGATCCCGGGACTCCAGGATCATGACCTGAGCTGAAGGCAGTCGCCCAACCGACTGAGCCACCCAGGCGCCCAGGAAATGACATCTTAACAATATTGAGAATTATATTCATTAATATGGAATGTCTCCATCTATTTAGTTCTTTGATTTATTTCATAGTTTCCTCATATAGATTTTGTACATATTTTGTTAAATTTATTCCTAAGTATTTTGTTGTAAACAGTATGTGTGTTTTTGTTTTTTGTTTTGGGGGGGCGCTGTAGAAGGGCAGAGGGAGAGGGAAAGAGAGAATCTCAAGTGGAGCCCAACGTGGGGCTCAATCTCATGACCCTGAGCTGAAATCAAGAGTCAGACACTTAACTGACCGAGTTACCCAGGCACCCCTGTGTTTTTCATTTCAAATTCCAGTTGTGCATTGCTGGTTTAAGAAGATAATTGAGTTTTATGTAATAACAACTTCATCCTACAATCTTGCTATATTCACTTTTTAGTTCCAGATGTTTTTTATTGGACGCAGAAAATAATAACATCTGTGAACAAAGATACTTTATTTCTTCCTTCCCAATTATATGCTATTTATTTATTTATTTATTTATTTATTTATTTATTCATTCATTCATTCATTCATTCATTCTGATGCATGAGCTGGGATTTCCAGTACTATGTTGAGTGGGAGTAATGAAAGGGGACATCTTTCTCGTGTTCTTTATCTTGGGAAAAATCATTTAGTTTCAGCATTAAGTGGGAAGTTAGCTGCCAGTTTTCTATAGATGTTCTTTATTAAGTTGAGAAGTTGCCTCTATAC